ATTTATAATACTTACAACATAAATGTTATGTAGTCATCATGCTATATTGTTATAGGAGTAATGATTTTTTTTTTTTTGAGACGGAGTTTCACTGTTGTTACCCAGACTGGAGTGCAATGGCACGATCTCGGCTCACCGCAACCTCCGCCTTCTGGGTTCAAGCAATTCTCCTGCCTCAGCCTCCCGAGTAGCTGGGACTACAGGCGCGCACCACCATGCCCAGCTAATTTTTGTATTTTTAGTAGAGACGGGGTTTCACCTCGTTGACCAGGATAGTCTCGATCTCTTGACCTTGTGATCCACCCGCCTTGGCCTCCCAAAGTGCTGGGATTATAGGCGTGAGCCACTGTATAGGAGTAATGATTTTAAAAAGTCTATATGTTCACTACAAATGCAACTATCTATTGTTTTCCAAGTATTTTCCATCTGACATTGGATGAATCCACGGATATGAAAACCACAGATACAGAAGGCTGGCTGCATATCAAGACAATTTATGTCTCACCTCAGCTCAAAACCCTTCCATGGCTCCCTATCGGACTAATGTAAAAGTCAATGAAGTCCTACATGCTCACTTCCCATTGACTCCATGATCTCTCTGACCTCGTATTAGACTTAACTCTTCTCCCAAGTCTTTTACTCCATTACGGCTACACTGCTCTCCTGGTTATTTCTTGAACACTCTAGGAATGCTCTCATCTTAAGAGACTTCACGTAGGCTATATTCCCTCTGCCTGGAAATCTCTGCTCAGACTATCTGCATGGCTAACTCCTTCTCCTTTGCTCCTTTTCCGTAAGGCCTTCCTTTACTTCTATATTTAAAACTGCAACCCCTCGTGGGCCGAGATTGCACCACTGCACTCCAGCCTGGGTGACAGAGCAAGACTCTCTCAAAAAACAACAACAACAACAAAAAAAAAAAAAAACCAGCAACCTCTGCTCTCATATCCTGGCACTTCTTATTCCCTCCCAATTCACTGTTCTGCATGGCGTTTATAACCTTCTAGTTACACCAGAGAATTTATTACATGTTTATTTTGTCTTAAGCTAATAACTACAATGTAAGCTCTGTGAAAAAAAGGATTTTCTCTATTTTGTTCCCTGCCTGGCCCAAATGCATAACATAAAATAATGCCTGGCCCATAACAGTGTTCAATAAACATTTAACAAATAAATGCACATTTGCTTGGTCACAAGCATGCCAAAGCAGTGAAAGGTGATGTGCGGTAAGAAACATACAGCAGGCATGTCTGGAAACAAAGAAGAAAGACCATGTGGTTCTAGAAAGACAGTAACTAACTAGCAGTCTGATTCTGACAATTTTCTATCCTTTTAACTCATTTCTTCCAAATCTAAGTTACCGCACGTTTTGCCATAGTGCATATAGAACATGATCAACCACAAAACTCTTTAGTGTCACACCTTTCAAATGAATAGGTTCCATAAACCATAAAGGACAACTCTTTGATATCCTGTAAAAAAATTACCAAGACTTGTATTACGTTCTGCTAATATAACTATTAATTTAGCAAAATGGGGGTGTGTAGCTCAGTGGTAGAGCACTTGCTTAGCAAAATGGAAAAAAAAAAAAAAAAACCCTCAGCTTTGTATCCCTGAGCTGAAATGTGAGCCTTTTATGGCAAAATGTTTATTATTTTTGAGAACGTCACATCAACACTTGCAACATCTTAACACTGTACTGCTTTTCCTTTAAAAAAAAAAAGGAAAAGAAAAGAAAGCATATCCTTGAGCAAAGGATAGATTTTTCTCTGAAACTGAGAAATTTCAGTGCATTGCAGAATCAGACTCCTAAACCCATAAAACGAGGAAGGCAAATGTCTAAGGTCTCCAACTCTGAAGCTGAAAAATATGAGGATGGATAGCAGTTGACATTAACACATTTGCACTCATACAAATAACATATATACAGTAAGAATGATTCATCCATCCCTGTATTACGAGAATGGATTAAAAACCTGTTGATTTAACAAAAATTAATTTAGTACTGAAGACACTTTAGAGATCTTTAAAATCTAGCTACTATTAGGAAATGGCCAAGACAGAACTCAGTATTACTATATATGCACAATATTCGGAGCATTAGATTATCATATATGGTACCATCGGAGGCAAGCAAGATGCTGCTTTTAAAAGGAAGGGAAGATTTACACACTATATGCATGGTTGGTGTTTTTGTAATATTCTTAATCTCTTAACTCAGAATATTAAAATATGTTTTTAAAGAACAGAGTTTTACGCTCCTGGCCAGGAGCGGTGGCTCACACCCATAATCCCAACATTTTGGGAGGCCAATGCGGGTGGTCACCTGAGTTCAGGAGTGTGAGACCAGTCTGGCCAACATGGTGAAAGCCCCATCTCTACTAAAAATACAAAAATTAGCAGGGCTAGGTGGCGTGCAGGTGGAGCACACCTGTACCACCAGCTACTCAGGAGGCTGAGACAGGAGAATCACTTGAACCCAGGAAGTTGAGGTTTCAGTGAGCAGAGATTGAGGCACTTGCACTCCAGCCTGGGCAACAGAGCAAGATTCCATCTCAAAAACAAACAAACAAACAAACAAACAAAACAAAAACAGAGAACCGTATTGGTGTTTTCAAAAGTAAGTGATATTGATTTTTTTTAATGTTTTATGTTTGGCCATATTTTGAATATCTCCTACCAAAAAAACTTCTAATCAGATTTTAAAAACCTAAGTTGTATTTTTTAAAGAAATAATCTATAATAACTAGTTTAACACATAGAATATTTATTAGCTTTTTGCCATTTTCACTCTATCATTTTTAATCATCTATAACCCTCCCTTTTCCTTTAAGTGCTATTTCAACTTAAATTTAATTGTAAAAAGTTCCAAATTGGAATTCTGCAAAAGCAGGCATGAGAATACAGCACTAAAATTCACTTGTCTTTCATGACTACTCATTTCGTAAAACAAAATAAAGCAAAATAGTTTCCACCAAATCATATAAATGATTCATCCTATAAAGTGACAAAAATAAATTTCAACATTGGATATTTAGTATACACTTATAAGTAAATATCTAATTTAAGTACAAAGTCTGACAGACATGAGCTTGAATCTTGTCTCTGCCATTTACTACCTGTATTCCCTTGGACAAGTTTCTTAATCATCGTAACCTTAAGTTTCCTCATCTGTAAAATGAAGATGCCGCCTAACGATGTTGAGAGAATTAAATGTATATAGTATTTAGTAAAGCATCTACTACACGTTGAGTCTTCAGCACGTTAGTTATTTTAATAGGAAACAGTGTCCAATAAATGTCATGTATACCTTATCCTGATAATTTTACAAGAGAAAAAATATATTTAAGCACTAGAAGTATGATGAAAATATTTATTTCCTGATTCCATACATACTTCGAGTGCAATTCCTGAATTACCATTGATTACTATCACACCATAAAAGTATCCAAGTACCAATCCCCGGACCAAAAGAGTAAGAATTGAATATAATATGTCCGTACCTGCCATGTGATAAATAAATACATGCCTTCCTAGATTTATTCATTAAAACTTGAATCTAAAAGGATGTGAAACCTACGTAGATGGAAATTTACATGCAAGCACCACCTGTCAAAAAGAAAATAGTAATTCCCAACCTTCAGCAGTTTCGCCTATTTTTTTCCAAAGGTGTCTCTAGTGGCGATTAGCTACACTCAGTGTCTATAATAAACACACTGTGGCATAATGAAAAGGAAACTGTTTGCAATCAGAATGCCTAGGTTCAAATGCGTCTCTTACTACCTGTGTGACCCTTCAACAAGCTACTAAAACAAGCCTAAATTTCCGCATCTATAAAGATAATACCTACCTATTCCACAGGCCTTTTACAAAGATCAAACGCAAATGTACAGCAAATGCCACATGTCATTATAGTTGAGGTTTTTATTAAAGGTAAGACTTCTTTTTTAAAAATAATCAACTCATGACATAGATAATGTCAAACTTTTTTCGCTCATCATTGCACTCCATGACTGCGTTTGATAATTCATTTTCACTGAAAATCACCAAAACAGCAACCAGTAAGGATGAAAGACGCTTATCTCCCCATAAATACACTTAAAGTAGAAAAGCATTTGCACTGATAACTGGAACACCAAAAATGCCAGAATAATTTACTAATTTCCGCTATAAATTCAGCAGTCATTTAAAAACATCTAAAAGCACAGCTGGTTAAAAATAATCTACTACCGTCAGTGGGTAAAAAAAAAAAAAAATGCGCTTCAAGACACGTAAGGTGTGGACGTTCTATCTTATATATACATTTTACAAGGGTCAGTTTATTCAAAGTAACCGTATCCAAAATACACGCAATCGCGAAACAAAACAAACAGAAGCCTGCTCATAGGTGTCAAGGATTTAAAACCAAACGGATCACAACAAAACAAAAGAGCCTTCCCCTGCCCGTTCAGTGAACAGACTGTCCAGCGGCGGCCAGCCGAGGACCGGGCTTTCCACCAGCGGTCAGCTCACGCCACTCGGCCGTCACCTGGCGGGGTATTTTTCGCGAAGTTTCAAAGTCAACAAAGAAGTTCTGTGGCGAGGGGGTAGGGCCTGGCGGGCGACAGCAGAAGGACGGAAAGAAAGACAGAACCCAGTGGGGGAAGGGTGCGGAAAACGCCCCCGGACTCCAGCGGTGGCGACAACGGCCCCGTCCTCTGGGCCAGCGCGCGACGGCGGGGGCGAGGGAGGGCCGCCGACCCGGAGCAGCCCCCAAGCCCCGGCCCCGGCCCCGACCCGGCAGGGTCCCCGCCCCCCTCGGCGGCGCGGGCGGGAAACGGCGAGGGGCACGCGAGGGGTCACCTTCCGCTCCCCGGCCCATAGGCCCCGCGGGCGGGCAAACGGCCCCGGCACCCGCCCCGCGGCGATCCCTCTGCCCGCCTCGAGCGCCTAGGGCCCGGCCGGGGCACGAACCCGGGCGCCGACGCAAGGGCTCGGGCGCGGCTGCGCCGCCGACTTACCTTCTTCGGCGGTGTCCATTTTGTCTTGGGGGGCGGCGGTGACGCAGCCAAGAGGCTCCCGAGGCCCGGCGGGGAATGAGGGAGGGGAGGAGGAAGAGGGAGCCGGGCCCGGGCAGGTGCGTGCGCTCAGGTGCGAGAGAGTAAGCGAGAGGAAGGAGAGGGGAGAGGGAGAGGGAGAAAGGCTGACAGAAAGCTAGCAACAGGGAGGGGGAGGGGCGGGAGCGCCGAGGGGCGAGGCCTGGGCGGGGCGGCGAGGCGGAAGAGGCGGGAGCGCCCCAACGACCGGTGGCGTCACTTCCGGCGTCCGTGTCACGCACGCACGGCGGGCGGTGGAGGTGGGGAGGCCCTCTTGCTGCGGGGCACGGCGAATCCCTGCGGGCTCAGAGCCAGCTGGGCTTGTCGCCGAGGCTGCGCCGGATCGCGAGGCCGAAACCTAATCAGGAGCTGAGCTTTAATGGCAGCCTCTGGAGGGACAAAGAAGGAGCACAGCTGCGGGAGGTGGGCGCGAGAGGTTGGCGCCCGCCCCGGCCGACGTGCGAGACTACCGTCCGGGCGCGGGTCTCTTGGAAGGCCGGGAGGTACCTGTGACCGTGCGAGTGTGCGCCCCCCGCTCCCGCCCCGGGTTGCCGAAGCCGAGTGACTGAAGTGGGCCTAGGCATCAGCATTTCTGTTTGGCGCCCGGGCAACTGTGGTGCACGTTTTGAGGAAGTACTAAAGCCTCACTGAGATGAAAAAGGCAAACGCTGACTTCACCAAAATTACTCCCAGGGAGACTTCTGCATTTGGCTGGAATAACTATTTGAGTAAACCACTGAGGCTCGGGTTTGAAACATAATCCTGCTCTAAGGGAGATCCGGTTTCAATACCCTGGGTTAAGAGACGCTTGCCTGGGCAGAGCTAAGGGAAGAGTGATCAGAGGCCAAGCTCTGCGCCCGTCAGCACGCCACCCTCCCTCAGTGTAATCCTTGACTGTTTCTCTAAATCAAGAATTATTTAGAGAATACAAATTAGAAGGGCCACCGCCTTAGAATTGCCTGAGTGGGAGCAGTCTTTCAACCTCGAAAAATGATAAAACGATATGCAGATGACCTAGCACAAATAAAAAACGCAGCCGCTGTTCTGTGTGAATAGAGGAATTGGGAGGACCCCTCTCCCAATCTTCATCAAACAGAGCAAGGTTTAAAATAAAAATAATGAAATACAGCCCTTCAAAAAGGGCGGCGCTTGACTAATGTTACTGATGTCACTCAGGTTACTCAAGGCAGGAAAGAACTCAAATTCTACACAGTAACCACTGATTTCAAGGACTGACCCTAAGAATTAAGCAGACAGCCATTCTTTAAATATGTTTTTTGTTGTTGTTTGCTTATGACTTTCTTTTTTAAAAAAGGGTCTCGCTCTGTTGCCCAGGCTGGAATGCAGTGACGCGATAACGGCTCACTACCGTCTCACTATGTTGCCCACTGTGGTTTTGAACTCCTGTCTTTAAGCGATCCTCATGCCTCGTCCTCCTGAAATGCTGGGGTTACAGGCATGTACCGCTACACCCTGCCTAAATACACTTTTATGTACTACCTCTCAAGAAACTAAATTTAAAGTCAGCTTTTCCCCCAGCCCCTATCCATCTGATCCGGTTCCAGCAAGAGCTCACCCTCCCTGTAAGACCTGTAGCAGAACACGTGTTGGCCTGCTGAGACTAGGGCCAAAGATCAGGACCGTCAAACCTCTAAGATGTTATATAGCATAAGGGTGAAGCATTCTGAAAGAAAGACTGAGACATGCTGGAGGAAGTACTGGTAGTGCTAAGGGCAGGTCTGTGACCCTCGGAGCCAGAGCCAGGTTAGGATTAACAGAATGTGTGTGTATGAGAGGGTGAGGGAGGAGAGAGCCTTCCTTTTGTCTCTAGGTGCCTTCCCTTGTGATGCTCAAAGAAAGTTAAACTTTTAACCAGTTCGTCCTTCTGCATAGTAATTTCTTCTGGAATTGCCCTAACCTTTTTGCATTCAGACTTTAGGCATTAAATGTGAGTAATAAACCAACATTTGTTGAGTCCCCACTGTGTGTCTGCACTGGTTCTCATAATAGTCCTTTGAATACATGAGTCAGTCATGCCTCTCTTGTCATTGACAGGACCTCAACTGTTAGGCAGAAGGGACGAATGTACTGTTTATATGGACAGACTGCAAGAAGGGAGGGACTGCAAGAAGGGGAGGTTCTCTCCACCCCCCAATACACTCACATTCCATTGATCTTAATTTGGTTCTGGCTCCAAGGGACACATACCTGCCCTTAGCACTACTAGTTCTTCCTCCAGCAAGTCTCAGTCTTTCTTTCAGAATCCTTTGCCCTTATGATCTAAAACATCTGATAGGTCTGATGGTCCTGACTACTAGAAGGAGAATGCCTCTCTGCCCTCATGCCTCAGCTCTGCCTCTCTCTCTGCATACTGGCTTCAGGCTGTTGGACCAGCGTCCTCTGTATGTCTGGAAACAGCCACTGATAGCTCCCAACATTTCACCTTCTGCCTCATCATCAGACAGGTGAGGTAAGGGTGATGATCTCTAGTCCCAAGTTAAAAATTCTCGGGGAAGGATAATTCGTTGGTCCAGCGAATTGCTTGTCCCTAAATCAAATGATTGTGCCTAAGATCTGGGGTCTTTAAGAACATGGACATTGTCATGTTCTTGTAACTTTCATGTTCAGGTAAGAACAATGGGCATTACCTTATGGAATTGGAGAAAGACTGTTTCCCACAAGAAGGGGAGGACAAAACAATGGATGTCCATTAGAATTAGAATTCTCATTGTCCAATCAAGAAAAACACTTTTTTTTTTTTGAGACATTGTCACCTAGGCTGGAGTGCAGTGGCACAATCTTGGCTCATTGCAACTTCCACTTCCCTGGCTTAATTGATCCTCTCAGCTCAGCCTCCCAAGTAGCAAGTAGCTGGGACTACAAGCATATGACACCCAGCTAATTTTTGTTTTGTTGTTTTTTTTTTTGGTAGAGATGGGGTTTCACCATGTTGCCCAGGCTGGTCTTGAATTCCCGGGCTCAAGCAATCCGCCCACCTTGGCCTCCAAAGTGTTGGAATTACAGGTGTGAGCCATTGTGCCTGGCTAAGAAAGATACTTTATTAAAGACATAGTATGATTCCAGCCTCGTGTGTGTGTGTGTGTGTGTGTGTGTGTGTGTGTGTACTGTGCTGTGAGAATACTGTGGTCTAGCAATGCTGGCTTTCCATACAGCAATAAGCAATGAGTAAGAGGGGAAGTGTGGAAGGACACAGTGTAATTTTTGAGTACTATCTGTAACAAACTAGCAATGATAACTAACCAAACTCCCTATTATGTCCAGTGAACATCCATAGCAATCCTGTGAAGTAAATATTATGCACATTTTACAGATAATCAGACTCACAGCTGATAAGTAATTAGCCCTCAGTCATACACACAGCATGAGAGGAAGCAAAATTAAGCCACAGGACTGTCTGACTCCATGCCTCCCAGTTTTAAACCTCAGGTTTGCCATTAGCAGTTACTCTCTTTACACTGCCACTTAACTCAACATTTATACTGTGAAGCAAGTTTATATTAAAACCTGTGACTTGGCCTGGTGTAGGTATGCACCAATAATCCCAGCTACTTTGGGTGTCTGAGGCAGGAGTCTCTCTTAAGGCCAGGAGATTGGAATTTCAGTGAGCTATGATCAGACCACTGTACTCCAGCCAGGGTGACAGAGTGAGACTCCATCTGTAAATAAATAAATATGTAAATAAATAGAACCTTTGAATTTACAGAATTGCTGCTGAAAAAGCATGGATATGGTAATTAGGCAAAACGCATTACCATATATTAATGTTATTGACATTAACAGATTACTAAAGGCAATTTATGGCATTATCTTAATAGTAAGCTTTTCCCCCCTTCTTCTCTTTCTATTTTCTCCTTTTTCACCTTCCCTTCCATCATTCTTTTCTGTTTTTCTTACCTTACCTCCATGAGACCCAACAGTGATGGGGCAAGAACATGGGAACTGAAAAGAGGGCATGCAGGTGGCAGAGAGAAGACTAGTATGATCAGCCAATTGATTACATTGAGCAAATAAGTAAATATATTGAGACTACTGATGGCCATATTTATCCCTGTTGGAGAAAATGCAAACATGGAGAGGAGGAAGGCTAGAAAACCCTGAGGTGTTGATTGGAAATGTACTTATCATTATGAACTCACTTTTTAAAATATAAATATAAATAACTATAGAAATATATATGGATGTGTATGTATCTCTATATATATATTTATATATGTATATACACATCGTATATTTTACGTATATATACTAGGAAATAAACATATTTCCTGGTGCCGTCCTGTGAGAGGATCCATATGCAGTGATAGCCCGGTAGCTGAGCACACTGTACATATTTTGGTTTCTATTCCCATGCTCCACTAGGAAGAACCAGCACTCCTTGAAGACATGACAGATTTTAGGGGTAGAGTAGAAAAACAAGATGAACCTGGAACATCTTGTGCCAGAAGTTAAGGAGTGTTCAAAGTCTGATAGTCATGTGCTACATGGACACAGAACCCAGCTCAAAGGGGCTCCAGTTGGCCAAATTACGTACGACTTGACTACAAAAGTACTTGCAGTAACAGATTATAGTTTATTGAAAACAATAGGAATTCATGAGCTCATACTGATGTAAATAAATGGGGAGAAAGAAAAGCTGTTCATTTGCATTATAATGCCAACCAATCAATGTGGAAGGAATGATACAAACAGAAAATCATTGGCCAACCATCACAGTGGAGTGACATTTTGATGAGGAACACAATTTTGGCATGTTGAAATATTTTCCAAAGGTTACAAAAGAAAAAGCAGTAACTTTACAATGAAGACATCAACATGACTTGAAGACATCAACATGACTTGATGTGTAACATCACCAGTGATGGAATGGATCAATGTAACGAGAAAAGCAAATTATGCCGAGAAAGCATTCCTGAGTCTGGTTGTGAGGAAACTTCAAACCATCCTCTGGTTATGAGGATGGCCTCAGTTGGGGGTCATCCTACAGAATGTAACACCTGTATTTTTTCGAACTGTCAAGGACATGATTAGACAAAGACCAAGGGACTGTTCCAGATTGGAGGAGACCAAAGAGACATGACAACTAAATGCAGTATATGTGTCTGGATGGGATACTGGACCAGATTTTTTTTTTTTTTTTGAGATGGATTCTCATTCTGTTGCCCAGGCTGGAGTGCAGTGGCATGATCTCAGCTGACTGCAACCTTCACCTCCCAGGTTCAAGCAATTATCTGCCTTGGCCTCCTGGGTAGCTGGGATTATACGTGCCCACCACCACGCCCAGCTAATTTTTTATTGTTATTAGAAACAAGGTTTCACCATCTTGGCCAGGCTGGTCTTGAACTCCTGACCTCTTGATACACCTGCCTTGGCCTCCCAAAGAGCTGGGATTACAGGCATAAGCCACCGTGCCTGGCCCAGAAATTTTTTAAAAATATATTCTTTTTGTTTTTTTGAGAGACAGTCTTGCTGTGTTGCCCAGGCTGGAGTGCAACGGCACCATCTCGGCTCACTGCAACCTCTGCCTCCTGGGTTCAAATGATTCTCCTGCCTCAGCCTCCCAAGCAGCTGGGACTGCAGGCACATACCACCACACCCAGCTAATTTTTTGTATTTTTAGTAGATACCGAGTTTCACCATGTTAGCCAGGATGGTCTCAATCTCCTGACCTCATGATCCTCCCTCCTTGGCCTCCCAAAGTGCTGGGATTACAGATGTGAGCCACTGCACCCAGCCTAAAAAATATATTCCTGAGACAGTTGAAAAAAACTGAAATTTAAATAGATTCTGTGAATGGTTTTGTAGCAATGTTAACTTCTCAATTTGGAAGATCCTTGTCTGAGGAAATACCCACTGTAGAATTTAGAAGTAATGTGGATTCAGGTCTGAAGCTTGTTCCCAGATGGTTCAAAAAAAGACTAATTGTGTGTGGGGTCAGGGAGGAGTTAACATTGGTGAATCTGGGTGAGGACAATGTGGAGATTTTGCAGATTTTCTTTGAGTTTGAAATTATTCTTAAGTCATTTTTTCATTCAAAGTTAAGTACCACTAGAACGCTAAAGCAATAGTTACCAAGTTTGATGGTGTCTCGGTTGTTGGCACCTTTTGCAGTTGATAAAATCTATGGATTTCGTTCCCAGAAAAAATTGCTTAAACACAAAACATTGCATACAATTTTGGGGAAGGGGGTGGTTATAGATGCCTTGAACTCCATGTGTGATTTCTGGGTTAAAAGAAACTCTTATTTAAATTAAAGTATTGAGAAAAGTAGTGATGTTCACTTCCGTTTCCAAGACTAGCAGACTGGGTTATTTAGACCAAGAGTTGAAAATTCTATATAAAATATAGAAAATAGATTCTTAAAAGCACTGAAGGGCTGACAAAATCTTTTTTTTTTTTTTTTTTTTTTTTTGAGATGGAGTCTTCCTCACTCTGCTGCCCAGGCTGGAGTAGTGCGATCTTGGCTCACTGCAACCTCCACCTCCTGGGTTCAAGCAATTCTCCTGCCTCAGCCACCTGAGTAGCTGAGATTACAGGCATGTACCACCATGCCTGGCTAGTTTTTGTATTTTTTTTTTTTTTTTTTTTTTTTTTTGGAGACAGGGTTTCACCATGTTGGCCAGACTGGTCTCAAACTCCTGACCTCAACTGATCTGTCCACCTCAGTTTCCCAAAGTGCTGGGATTACAGGCATGAGCCACCATGCCTGGCCTACCAGGCCAAAATCTAAGGACAAGAGAGAATATCAAAAAGTAAATGGAACATGAAGACTGCTTTTGTTTTGCTGAACCAAGCAAAGTTGAACTTCTATTTGACAGTTTCTAGCAGCAAGAAGGACGACTGTCAAAGCCCAGAGCCTGCCCAAGGTGAGGCCTCTGTTAAGAGACTTTCCACAAGGAGCCTCACCCGAGACCCACACAGCTGCTATCGCAGGGGGATGGTGAACCAAAGTGAATCTGACTTCTCCTGAAGACTTCTAGGAAACTTAGCCTTATTTTTTAAGTTCCTGAAAATTTGTACCTGTGAATCAGCCCTGGCATGGACTGTACCCCAAATTCATACCCTAGTGATCAAGTAATCTTAAACAGTGAGTTTAGTTTAAAAAATTCTTAGACTGCTGAGACCCCCTGAGCACCTGGCAAAAGCAAACACAAATTCTCTGTGGAAGAATGTACCTGTGTGTTACTCGTCCCTATACATTTATTTGTGGAGATTCTTTGACATATGTGTATGTGTGTGTGTGTGTGTACATATAAATATATACGGTACACACACACACACATTGAACACAAGAACTAGCACACACCAGGTATCAGAAGCCACAAAGACCTCGGGTATGGAAGTTAGCCAACACATTGTAAAGCTACTACACTATGACTTTAAAAAAAGTGATGAAACAATTTTATTTTAAAATCTCAATTTCTAAACTGGAATTACATTCTTTGCCACCTTTTAAACATAAAATATGAAATTGTATTCATCAAGAAATGAAGATGTGCAATGCATAGTTTTTTAGGTTGCATGCAAGCAAAATCTTCAGATAACTGTGTACTTTTCTGTGGGTGAGGGCACGGCTGTCCTTAGGCATGTGATCGTCTGTGGCCTGTGGGTTGCCAATGACAGAGGCCTCATTTCACATACCGATGTCTCCCTGAGGCCAACACAGGCCTTGACACACAGTAGGGTGTCACTAAACTTTGGCTAAGTTAGTGATGTATGATTTTCCAGGAGATACTTTATGTCACTGAAATCTGAAATAGCAACATGTGTGTGAATGCTTTTCTTAGGAAGAGACAAATTCTTAATAATAGCTGAAAAATCAGTAACAGGCTTAGTGTGTCTAGACTCTTATTATATCGGGATTTCATGGTCATAATGAATTCATTTTCAGTACTTCATGCAAATATGCTCAACGGTGATATATACTGAGATCAAATAATTAAAATAGAGCACCATGTGTTTCTCATACAATAGTCACATAAAAATTACTTACAATTTAACCCAAATTGTCACTGAAATGAAGGCCTTGAAGACCACAGTTGTTCTTTTCTCCAAACTTTTGTTATAAACATTTGGAAATAATCAGAAAATCTAAAGGATTAATATAATGAACACCTGCATGTTCAACCTAGATTCAACAATTGTTTAGCCATATTTATTTCAATGATACTCATTTCTGTATCATTTGGAAATATATATATATAATATTTCTATATGTATGTATGGAGTTCTCTTTTGTTTTGAAACAGTTTTACTCTGTTACCTAGGCTAGAGTACAATAGTGGGATCTCAGCTCACTGCCACCTCTGCCTCCCAGGCTCAAGTGCTTCTGGTGCCTCCCAAGTAGCTGGAATTATAGATGTGCACCACCACACATGGCTAACTTTTGTATTTTTAGTAGAGATGGGGTTTCACCATGTTAGCTAGGCTGATATCAAACTCTTCAAGTCTGATATCCTGCCTTGGCCTCCCAAAGTGCTGGGATTACAGGCACAAGCCACCGACCCCGGCCAAAATATGTATATTTGAACATCTTTGCCCCTAAAGACTTTAGCATGTATCTCTTAAGGTTAGAATAATCTCCTTGAAAACAATTTCCACATCATAATAACATATAGACTCTAAAGTTTCTCTATTGTCCCAAGAATGACCTTTATAATTTTCTTAGTTTCTTTAACAAAGGTCCAATCTGGTTTCCTGTATTGCCACTGGTTTAGTCTCTAGTCCATCTCCTTTAGTCTAGAATGGTCCCTGTACCTTTTGTTTTCCAATGACAATGCCTTTTGGAAGTCCACAGAACAAAATTGTTTCATGCAATGAATGTCCTTCATTATAGATATATCTGATTCCTCTTCATGTCATTTAGCTTGTTCCTTTAGCCCATGTATTTCCTGTAAACCAGAAGGTAGGCTTAGAGGCTTGATCTGATTCAATTTACACATGTTTTTGCAAGAATATTTGACAGATGATTATGTGTTTTTCTTTCGCTCTCCTTTTTTTTTTTTTTTTTTTTGAGATAGAGTCTCACTCTGTTGCCTAGACCGAAGTGCAGTGGTGAGATCTTGGCTCATTACAACCTCTGCCTCCCAGTTTCAGGCTATTCTTTTGCCTGAGCCTCCCGAGCAGCTGGGATTATAGGTACACACCACCACACCTGGCTAATTTTTGTAATTTTGTAATTTTAGTATTTTAGTAGAGACGGGGTTTTACCATGTTGGCCAGGCTAGTCTTGAACTCCTGACCTCAAGTGATCCACCACTTCGGCCTCCCAAAGTGCTGGGATTACAGGCATGAGCCACCTTGCCTGGCTGATTATATGTTTTTCATATTACAGTATATCAAGAGGCCAGAAAGTCAGGTTATGCTGTGGTTCACATTCTGAGTTTGAGTAGTTGGTTAAGGTGGTGGCTGCCAAGTCTCACCATTTATTAAGTATTCTATGGAGTAAATCCTCAGATTGTTTCATTTATATCTTATTCATTAAGCAGGATAGCCCAATTTTAAAATTATTCTTAAAATTTGAAATTACATGTTATTAAAAACATTCTTATTGTTTATAAAGATGTTTATTTTACAAAACCTTCTAAGCTGTTTATCACAAAATTCCCCCATAATTCTTCCAGTAAGATAAAACCTCCTCCTCCTCCTGTTTGTGTCAATCTCCAATACTTTTCTTTCTTTCTTTTTTTTTCTTAGTGTAACGGTACAATCTCGGCTTACTGCAACCTCTGCCTCCTGGGTTCAAGTAAATATTGGAGTGATGCAACCACAAGCCAAGGAATGCTGGCAGCCACTAGAAGCTGAAAGACATAAGGAATGGATTCTCAGAGCCTCAGTAGGAAATGTGGCCCTACCAACACTTTGATTTCAGACTTCTCAACTAGGAGAGAATCAACCTCTGTTGTTTGAAGCCTCCCAGTTTGTTGTGATCATTTGTTACAGCAACCATAGGAAGCAAATAATGAGGGCCTATTTGGAGGAGGACACAAACCCAGCAGTGGGTTAGGAACTATTCATGCTTACAGCTACCTTATTTATCAGTAGTCTAGACGTCAACATTGACTTCATCACTTCAAAGGCTGCACCTGGGCCTAGAGTTTCAAGCTCATGTGCTGCATATGGCTACAGGGATTCCTAGGTCAGCTCCCTAGGTGGCAGATGAGTATCTCTGTAACTGATTAGTCTCTTTAAATATACAGTTGGGGCTGGGTGTGGTGGCTCACACCTGTATAATCCTAGCACTTTTGGAGGTTGAGGGAGGAGGATCACTTGAACCCAGGAGTTCAAGACCAGCCTGGCCAACATAGTGAAACCCCATCTCTACTAAAAAAATACAAAAATTAGCCAGGCATGGTGGCACACAGCTATAATCCCAGCTACTTAAGAGGCTGAGGTGGGAGAATAACTTGAACCTGGGAGGCAGAGGTTGCAGTGAGCCAAGATCTCACCACTATATTCCAGCTTGGGCAGCAGAGTGAGACTCTATCTCAAAAATACATAAATGAATAAATCTACAGTAGGCCCTTCCTATTTGTGGGTTCTGCATCCATGAATTCAACCAATTGAGGATCAAGAATAGGTTCATCTGCCTGGGAGGTGGAGGTTGCAGTGAGCCAAGATCGTGCCATTGTGCTCCAGCCTAGGCGACAGAGTGAGACTCCATCTCAAAAAAAAAAAAAAAAAAGCATAGGTTAATCTGTACTAAATATGTATAGACTTTTTTTCTTGTTCGTATTCCCTAAATGAGATAGTATGACAAGCCAAGCTTGGTGGCTCATGCCAATCACAGCACTTTGAGAGCCTGGGGCAGGAAAATCACTTGAGCCCAGAGTTTGAGACCAGCCTGAGCAACATAGACCCCATCTCTACAAAAAAAAAAATATTTTTTTAATTAGTGAGGCATGATGGTGTGTGCTTATAGTCCCAACCTACTCAGGAGGTTGAGGTGGGAGGTTCACTTGAGCCTGGGAGGTCAAGGCTGCAGTGAGCTGTGATCACGCCACAGTCCTCCAACCTGGACGACAGAGTGAGGCCCTGTCTCAAACAAAAATATACAGTATGCCAACTACTTATATAACGTTTACATTGTATTAGGCATTATAAGTAATCTAGACATGATTTATGGGAGGATATGAATAGTTTACTTGTAAATTCTATACCATTATATATAAGGAACTTGATCACCCATGGATTTTGGTATTTGCAGGATCCTGAAACCAGTCCCCCACAGATACTGCAGAGAGATCATACATTTTCATCTGGTGTTTTGGCTTCTAATCTGAAATTGTATATTTGCTCCAAAGTGAAACTCTTCGTAAGAGTTTTTATCTTAGACACATGGACCTTTTGGAATTATCTGGCATATTTCACTTCGTTATTCATGAAAACCATTGAGCTCTGATGTCGAATCTCTTGTTAGCTTCCCATGTGTCTTTATTGTTTTACGGACTGAATGTGTCCCCCCAAAATTCGCATGTCAACATCCTAGTCCCCAGTGTGATGGTGTTAGGAGGTGAGGCCTTTGGAAGATAACTGGGTTTAGATGAGGTTGTAAAGATGAGGTCCCCATGATGGAATTAGTGTCCTTATAGGATTTAGGCCACTCAATCTATGATACGCTGAAATAGCAGCCTGAACTGAAACAAGACAGTTATCATCAAACATCATTTGAGTGCTTATTCTGTATCATATGCTGTGAAAGATCCCCAAAGCAAGCAGATTAGGCAACTCTAAGGCCTGATTTGTCCTCAAAGAAGGTGAGGCTACAGTTAGTTTAGGAACTACTGCCTAGCTTTACTGGGAGAGAATCTTTTTTACAACGTCAGTTGGAGAAGCCACATAATTATACCATTATGACTGCTTAGACATAACTTTGGACTCTAACTAGAATTTCTAATCCCTTAGACTTAAGGGATTTTAGGTTTTGGGGTACATGTGAAGAACATGTAAGATTGTTGCATAGGTACACACATGGCAGTGTGGTTTGCTGCCTTCCTCCCCATCACCTATATCTGGCATTTCTCCCCATGTTTTCCCTCCCCAACTCCCCACTCCCTGCTGTCCCTCCCCTAGTTCCCCCAGCCACAGACCCCAGAGTGTGATGCTCCCCTCCCTGTGTCCATGTGTTCTCATTGTTCAACACTCGCCTATGAGTGAGAACATGAGGTGTTTGATTTTCTGTTCTAGTGTCAGTTTGCTGAGAATGATGGTTTCTAGATTCATCTACGTCCCTCCAAAGACACAAACTCATCGTTTTTTATGGCTGCATAGTATTCCATGGTGTATATGTGCCACATTTTCGCTGTTTAGTCTAACATCGAGGGGCATTTGGTTTGGTTCCAGGTCTTTGCTATTGTAAACAGTGGGGCAATGAACATTACTGTGCATCTGTCCTTATAACAGAACAATTTATAATCCTTTGGATATATACCCAGCAACGGGATTGCCGGGTCAAATGGAATTTCTATTTCTAAGTCCTTGAGGAAGCGCCACACTGTCTTCCATAATTCTGACAATATTTTTAATGGAAATTGTATCCAGTTATTCAGGAGCTCTAAAATAATTATAGTATCTAGCATGGACCAGTCACTTGCTGAGCCCCAGCGCCATCCAACCAACGAGGCCAGGGCGGAGGTGGAGGACACTCAATTGCAGTGAGTTGCAGAGGCCCTGCACCTCCTAAGTGGCTGCACTTAAGAACTGGCTCCAAGACTTGTGTGAGGAAAGCATGTGGGGCTCCTTGGAGGTTTCTGAGTTCAGCCAGATGTTTAACCTCACTTAACCTCCTTTGCCTAGAGTTTCAATCTCGTGTGCTGCGTGTGGTTACAATGGGTATCGGGTCAGCTCCCTAGGTCCCGGATGAGTAGCTCTCTAATTGATGAGTCTCTTTAAATATACAGTTGTCCCTCCATATTCATGGGTTCTGCATCCACAAATTCAACCAACTGTGAATCAAGGACAGGTTCATCTCTACGAAGCATGTATAGACCTTTCTTCTTGTCTGTATTCCTCAAACAGACAAGGGCATTGTCATACCTGCCTTCCTATGAGGCTTCATTGTCCTACTGCTCCTGGGGTAGCCCTAAAAGCTGTGTCCCTACACTGCAAAGGGCCCCATCTCCTCCTTGATAGGTGGTAGGGACCCCTTTCTTGACCTGCCCAACTGCTGCATTGAGAGGCAGAATATACAGACAGCAGCCAGACCAGAGATGACAGCAGAACTGACACGAAATGTGCAGTAGCCAGTCCAGGAAGCCAAACCACAACGTCCACAGCAATCTGCCCAGAACGGTCAGGACGTCATCAATAACCCAGCTTCCCTACATTTTGCTGCTGCTTCCAATTTAGGACTAGAGAAAGCGCAACATATTCCCCTAACCAATCACATGGGATGCCCTGCTCTGGTGAGACACGTGAGTCTTTCCCAGGCCAGCAGCCTCCACTCAGGGCACACCTCCTCCACTATGAAGGTTTCCCACTCCCCTGCCTGCCTTCGAGTCTCTGCTAAACATTAGGGATGGCAGCCGCCTCCTTTTCTACAGCAAGCTCTGGTGGTCTTTGTTTATTTCTACATCGTTTTAGTTTTAACTGGTCCTTAGGTCTTTCTGTTGGCATCCTGCCCTCCTCTGCCTTCAGACAGCCTTTACCACTCTCTGTGAGGCCTGTGTGCCAGCCTCAAATCTGTGCCATTTCGGCAGAAATGGCCCTGCTTAGCAAGTCTCAGTTTTTCCCTGCAGTGACTCATCAGTCTCCTCATCAGGCCACTCAATTCTATGGCAGGGAAGATCTCCAATCACTGCCGAGACACCCACAGAACCTCATTTTAGCCCCCGAGCTGGGGAAGCGGTTGCCATAGCGATGGATGCAGCAGGCAGGCAGGCATGAGAAGGGCTCACTGCAGCCAGCCCACGCCAGGAGGGGCCAGCCTTTTGCTTGGTCTGTGCTGCTCACTGCATCCCCAACCTCCAACCTCCACCTCCAACAAAAAATGGGGGCTGGGAGCGGGAACCATCCATGGCAATCAAGCTGGGATCTTTGTCTTAGCAGCACACCTCCCCCCTCACCATGGTGGCTGTTAATGGTTGGCGACACTTGGTGGTGCAGATTAGACTGTGTTGCTTAGCAACGAAATAACAAACAGCATCAATCGTGTCTCCATTGCATCTCCCTGAATGCCTCACTTAGATGGACGAGATTTCAGTACTCTGTGCCAGGGTGGGGGTGGGGCGATCCGAACCTTTTTAAATGGAGGATTTACATTTACAGAAAAATATGCACAAAGTATAAGTGCCCATCTTGATAAGCTGAAACCAACACCCAGATCAAGATATAGAACATTTCCAGGACGCAGCAAGTTCCCTCCTGCCCTTCCCCGCGAATCTCCACTCCCTGTGGACATGGATATGACCTTCATCACCATCCTTTTGTTTTGCCTGTATGTGAGCTTCACATGAATAGGATCTTGTGGTAAGGACCTTTTGTGTGCAGCTTACTCCCCTCATCACTGTGTTGATGAGATGCTCCCATGTTGCGTGTGCAGTAGGAGGATGGGGGTGGTGCTGCCGAGCACGGTTTCCTCCTCCCCTGGTGACAGGACTGGTCTCCTGGCTTTTCCACCTTACCTTCTGTGTTAGTCAGGGTTCTCTTAGCGGGACAGAACTAATAGGAGATGTGTGTGTGAGTGTGTGTGTGTGAGTGTGTGTGTGTGTATAAAGGGGAGTTTAATAAGTAATAACTTACACGGTCACAGGATCCCACAATAGGCTATCTGCAAGCTGAGGGGCAAGGAGAGCCAGTCCAAGTCCCAAAACTGAAGAACTTCGAGTCTGATGTTCAAGGGCAGGAAGTGTCCAGTGTGGGAGAAACATGTAGGCTGGGAGGCTAGGCCAGTTTTACCTTTCCACCTTTTTCTGCCTGCTTTATGTTCACTGACAGCTGATTAGATGCTGCCCACCCAATTAAGAGTGGGTCTGCCTTTCCCAGTTCACTGACTGGAATGTTAATCTCCTTGGGCAACACCCTCACAGACACACTCAGGATCAATACTGCATCCTTCAGTCAAGTTGACACTCAGCATTAACCATCACACCTTCCCATTGAAACTCCTTGGATGGATACCCGTCCGAACCAAACCCAGGATCCATGCCTTCTTGGATTCTGGACCATCTCTGTAAGTGGATGGGGCTTCTGTTCTGATGCTTCTAACCTCTCTCTGCCCCACCAGTGTGGCTGGGACCCTGCATCCCTTGTTCCTGAGCATGCCTGCGTTAGGACATCCCAGAGCCCTGGCTGCCCAGATGTAGACAGGTCACTGCATCTCCACCCTAAGGCCTTAGAATTGTTTCCTTTAGAGAGAGCCCCATTCTAGATGCTTGATCCTCTTTTAATTTTTTAAACTACTTACTTTTTTAAAATGAGAAAATGCATTTCATTTTTTTTACAAATATTAGAAAACAAAATCAAGTAATTTATTTTATATTACAGTGTTTGTATTAAAGACTGTAAGCATCTTTAGCAAACTGGATTTATACCAGGAAAACAAGAGATTTTTAACATTAGAAAATCTGTTAATATAATTAACCAAAAGTTACAAAGAAAAAAATAACTGCATAAGACAGAAGAGGCATCTGATAACATTTTCTATTGCAATTCAAAATATAAATTTATAGAAAACTAGAACTAAAAATAGGAATGACCTGTATTTCTACCAAATCTTAAGACTAAGCTTTATATTTATCATTAGGAGTATTCCAATTCATGTCAAGAGGTCAAAAAAAGGGTGCCTCTAATCAAATTGTGCTAGAAGTGTTAACCAGCTCAATCAGTTAGGAACAAGAAATAAAAGATAAACTTTTCTGTAAAAAAAGTAAATATGGCTCTCTCTATTTACAGATTAAAAGATGGTCTACCTTTGGGAGGCCGAGGCGGGTGGATCACGAAGTCAAAGAGATCAAGACCATCCTGGTCAACAAGATGAAACCCTGTCTCTACTAAAATACAAAAATTAGCTGGGCATGGTGGCGCATGCCTGTAGTCCCAGCTACTCGGGAGGCTGAGGCAGGAGAATTGCCTGAACCCAGGAGGCGGAAGTTGTGGTGAGTCGAGATTGCGCCATTGCACTCCAGCCTGGGTAACAAGAGAGAAACTCCGTCTCAAAAAAAAAAAAAAAAAAAAAAAATGGTCTACATGGAAAATCCAAAAGAATGTACGGGCAAAGTATTAAAACTACCTAATAGCACAGTAAATACACAAATGTTCATTGTAATTGTATACATTGGCAACATTTTAAGATAGTGTTTAAATGTAGGATTTAGAAGACAGAAAACTAAACCACACTAAAATCCAAAAAAAGAAGTTTTAGATTACAAAAAGAGAAGTGTGTAGTTTTAAATTGGAAACTTGAAGATAACTAATATGTAACTTAGCTTTTAATCTTAATTTCTAATAGGATCTCACTTAAAATCCCAATAGAGTTTTGGTAATTTTGTTATTTTTTAAATTAAATTCTGGAGTCCATGTGCAGATAATGTAGATTTGTTGCATAGGTATACATGTGCCATGGTGGTTTGCTGCATCCATCACCCCGTAATCTGCATTAGGTATTTTTCCTAATGCTATCCCTCCCCTATCCCCCCATCTCCTGCTATCCCTCCCCTAGCCCCCCACCCCCAACAGACCCCGGTGTGTGATGTTCCCCTCCCTGTGACCATGTGTTCTCATTGTTCAACACCCACTTATGAGTGAGAATGTGTGGTGTTTGGTTTTCTGTTCTTGTGTCATAAACTGCTTACTTCTAAGCTTATAGAAAAGTTGGAAAAATAGTACAAATTCCTGTATACATTCCTCACATTCCCCAAATTTTAACATTTTGCCACATTTGTTTTACCCTTCTCTTTCTCTCTGTCCATACAGTTATGACTTACATATATTAATTTTTCTAATCATTTAGGAGATTGTAGACATGATGCCTTCTTGTCCCAAAATACTTAAATGTATATTTCCTTTTTATTTTTTTTTTTGAGACAGAGTCTTGCTCTTTCGCCAGGCTGGAGTGCAGTGGCACAATCTTGGCTCACTGCAACCTCCACCTCCCAGGTTCAAGTGATTCTTATTCCTCAGCATCCCAAGTAGCTGGGATTATCGGTGCCTGCCACCACACCTGGCTAATTTTTATATTTTTAGTAGAGATGGGTTTTTACCTTGTTGACCAGGCTGGTCTTGAACTCCTGACCTCAGATGATTCACCCACCTCAGCCTCCCAAAATACTGTGATTACAGGCATGAGCCACCCCACCTGGTGGCCCTTTTTTTTTTTTGGAGACAGAGTCTCCCTTTGTTGCCTAGGCTAGAGTGCAGTGGCACAATTACAACTGACTGCAGCCTCCACCTCTAAGTAGCTGAGACTACAGGCTCGGGACACCATGCCTGGCTAATTTTTGCATATATGGGGTTTCACCATATTGCCCAAACTAGTTTGGAACTCTTGAGCTCGAGCCCCTGCCTTAGCCTCCTAAAGTGCTGTGATTACAGGCAAGAGCCATCGCATCTGGCATGTCTGGATTATTACACTATACACAGTGTCCTCAAGGTTCATCTATGCCTTAGGACGACTCATTTCCTTTATAATGAAAACAAACAAACAAACATTTTTCGTCTGGTCCACTATCCAGAATCCACAATGGGCTTAGTCATCAGGCCTCTTTAGTCCTCTTCAGTAAGAAACACTTATTCAGTCTTTGTCAAAAATGACATTGACATTTTTGTAGGGCAGAAGCCGATTATTTTGGAAAACGTCCCTTTGTTTGATGTGTTGGTATTTCCTCACGACTGAATGCAGGTTCTGCACAGTTAGCGCAGAGGGCTAACACGCACAGAGGGCCAGAAGCACGTGTGGCCTATGTGTCCTGTTGCTGGTGATGTTGATTTTGCTCGCTGGACTAAGGTTTGTCAAGTTTCCCCACGGTAAAGAGACTGTTTGCCCCTCGGTCATTACTGGGAACCTCCTTCATGGGGAGATAGACTGAGACCATATACAAATGCTGTTTCTCAAACTTTTCTCACAATTTAGCATAACTGATGATTCTCCCTTACATAATCATCACTACGGTGGTTCCAAGAGGCATTTTCTTATTCCATTATCTTTTCTGAAATTGTTAGTTGATATTCTACCATAAGGAAGAGTTTTCTTCTCCCTCTTTATTTTTTCATTACTGTACCTGTATGTACTCGTGGGTTCTTAAGACTGTGCTTATAATAAAGTGAGAAGAGTTATAGAATGGGTATGGTAGCTCACACTTGTAATCTCAGCACTTTGAGAAGCCAAGGCAGGAGGGTCACTTGATGCCAGGAGTTCAAGACCAGCCTGGCCAACATGGCAAAACCCCATCTCTACTAAAAATACAAAAATCAACTAGGCATAGTGGCAGGTGCCTGTAATCCCAGCTGCTAAACACAACAACAAAAAAACGGTTACAATTCAATACTAACATGATTGTTACTCAGAAGATTCCACATTTGGCCAGTGAGGACCCCTTCAAGCTTTTGTCCTTTAAATGAATTCCTACCATTCTTTGGGCACTTTCTCACTGTCTGCCAGAATAACATATTCTGAGTTTATCTTGTTCCTCTCCAGCCTTAACCCCGGAAGTCGCCTCTTCTCCACAGAGCCCTGATTCCCTTTAGTGGACCATGTGAACCAGAAGACTTGCTAGCAGTGTCCTCATCTGAAGACGCCAGCCTTAGCCAGACAGTGCTTCCACCTTTCAAGTGCTTCCAGTTGTCAGTCTTGCTCCTCAGCTGCTGAATGAGTTCATTCTGGGATTACAAGTGACTTCTTTATTTTTTACTTCTATGTGTTCATGTATTTTCTATGACTCCTATAACAAATCGCCACAGACTGAGTGGCCTAAAACAACACAGAGGATTCTCGCACAGTTCTGGAGGTCAGAGCATGCAGTGGGTCACACTGGGCTAACATCAAAGTGTCTGCAGGACTAGGTTTCCTTCTGGAGGCTCAGGGAGAATCTGCATCCTTGCGTTTCCCACCTTCTGGAAGCTGCCCGCATTCCTTGGCCGGTGCCCCCCTTCTTCCTCCGTGAAGCAAACACATCCCTCTGACCTCTCCTTCTGCCTTCGCTTTTCCTCTGCCTCCCTCTTCTAGGGCCCCTGTGGTCACTGGACATTGTGTCCACCCAGATAATCCAGGGTAATACCCTGTCTAAAAATCCTTCGGTTGCCAGGCGCAGTGGCTCTCGCATATCATCCCAGCCAGCGCTTTGGGAGGCTGAGGCAGATGCATCACTTGAGGTCCGGAGTTCGAGACCAGCCTGGCCAACATGGTGAAACCCCTGTCACTTCTAAAATGACAAAAATTAGCCAGGTGTGGTGGCAGGCTTCTGTAATCTCAGCCACGAAGGAGGCTGAGGCAGGAGAATTGCTTGACCCTGGGAGGGGGAGTTGCAGTGAGCCCAGATGGTGCCACTATACTCCAGCCTGGGCGACAGAGAAAGACTGTCTCAAAATAAATAAATAAAATTTAAATTTAAAAATTAAAATCCTTAGCTTGATCACATTGGCAAAGGCCTTCCACATTATTTATTTCTTTATTTTGCCATATAACATGTTTACAGATTCTAGACATTAAGACGTGGACATTTTTGGAGGACCATTATTCTGTGCTATCACAATGTATTTTATGGATTTTTAAATAATATAAATTACTTTTGTAATCTAAAAACATAACAGGAGTCATGAGCGAGAAGGCCCAGAAGGAGAGCGTACTCCTGACATCCACCGCCAGCCCCTGGGGCGCCTCTGCCACTCGGCAGGAGGCAGAAGAGTGGGCGAGTAGGTGGGGCAGGCGAGGCTCCCGGAGGGAAGCGCGCCTTTCACCGCTCTGTCCTGCCCCTCCGGCTGCCGAATGAGTTCATTCTGGGAAGTGCATTTCGAGTGACTTCCTTATTTTTTAAATGAATGTGTTTAAAGGTCTGTGTTCATGTGTTTCCTATAACTTCTATCACAAATCGCCAGACTTGAGTTTGCCTCTGAAACGCGCTCTGCGGGGCTGCGCGCGCTTCAGAGGCAAAACCACGCGGCGGCGGGGAGGTTGGAACGCGGTTTGGGTTGGAGCGGACGAATGGCCAGAGCCCGGTGCGGTGGTGGAACCATCTCGGTGCAGCCGGTGACCGCCGCCGTCCCGCCTCAGGTGCCCAGCTCGCCCGGCTCCTCCCCGCAGCCACGGGCCGCCGCCGCACAGCGCTGTCCCTGCGATCCGCGATCTCCCGCTTCCCCCCAGCCCTGCGGTTCACACTCCTTTTTCCTTCCCTCCCTAATACAAATATTGCCCAGACCTCCCACCCCGCGCAGTCCCTTTGATTCTGAGCCGGCTCTCGGTCGGGGGGAGTCAGGGCGCATTCCGCCGACTCAGGGCCCTGAATTACTGCGCCCAGTTTCCCTTCCCGAAACTCTCCATCTCCAGTGGTTCTTGGGGGAGCATCGCGCTCACGCAGGACGCAGCCCCATGTGCCCCCGCTGTCCTGGACGGCGTCTGTACTTCTGTCTCCTTCCCTGGACCCCCACGTCCCCGCCGCCGGAGGTCAGCAGCGACGGGGGTGGGGACCGAACCCACGTGGCGGATCCCCGGCGGTCGAGAGGACTCGGAATTCGAATCTGTTTGGCTTCGGGGTCTCCCAGGACCTGCTCTGGCGCTAAGAGCGTGGAAGAAGCTGAAAGAGCTCCTTCAGTGTCACGAGTCAGCTTTTCCCTAGGCCGGCAGCCCTCAGGGTCTGGGCAGGGGTGCAGACCACCCAGCGTCTCCCCCTCTGCCGGCTTCGGGCCCAGAGGCCCGCAGTGGCTGGCACCTGGGTACGTGCAGGCGGCCTTCGGGTGAGCCCTCCTAGGGACGCGCCCAGGGGCTCCTCACCCGACCTGCCGCTGACAGCCCCACCCAGGCAGCCCCCATCACACAAGAGGAGAGAAAGGGGATAGCAGGGCTGAAGAGGAGGCCAAGAGCAGGGAGCTGTTCCGAAGGCGATTTTCTTCAGCTTAGAACAGAAAAGATATCTGGCCCTCAAAGGATGAGAACGCAGACAGCACTGAAGGCCTCATTCTGTATAACCCCACGTGCCATAACAATAACTCATCTCCAGGGCACAGATCCATGGGTCCCATGTTGTGTACCCATGACCACAACCCCTTTTACTCTGTCTCTCTCTCTCTCTCTCTCTCTCTCTCTCTCTCTCTCTCTCTCTCTCAACGGAGTCACTCTGTCATTCAAGCTGGAGTGCAGTGGCGCAATCTCAGCTCACTGCAACCTCTGCCTCCCGTGTTCAAGCGATTCTCCTGCCTCAGCCTCCCGAGTAGCTGGGAGTACAGACACATGCCCAGCTAATTTTTGTATTTTTGGTAGAGACAGGGTTTCACCATGCTGGCCATGATGGTCTCATCTCTTGACCTCGTGCTCCACCTGCCTTGGCCTCCCAAAGTGCTGGGATTACAGGCATGAGGCACCACTTGGCCCCCGCTTTTCCTCTCTAAAAAGAAAGCCATACTCATTCACAGCCACTCTCAGGCCCCACTTTGCCCAGACCCTCTTCTGCTTTCTTTCTCTATAAATTTGACCGTTTCTGAACAGTTCACATAAATGAAATCATATGATATGTGATCTTTTGTAACTGGTGTCTTGCACTTAGCATGTTTTCAAGGCCCATCCGTGTTGGAGCATGAATCAGTCCCTCATTTCTTGTATTGCCAAATGGTATTCCGTGGCATGGATATCTCACAGTTCACCTATGCCTTTGTGGGCTGATGGACATTTGGGTTGTTTCCACTTTCTGGCTCTTGTGAATAATGCTTCTATGAGCATTCGGGTGTACATTTTTGTGTGGAATATGATTTCAATTCTTTTGGCTATCTACCTTGGAGTGGAGTTGCTGGGTTATACGGTACTAACATTTTCAGGAACTGTCAAAGACCTAATTTTAGATTTTGGGAAGAGGGATATGGAGCCTGTTCAAAAAGCAACTGCACAAATCTGCAAGGGCACTGGATAGATGACCTCCCAGACGTCTAAGGAGAACCTACTAGGTGAGAGGAACTGCTCACGATATTGAAAGGAAAGAGACAGAGCACAGGGGCAGGAGCAGGGGCAGTCGGGGGGGGGGGGGCGGCTTGAGCCTGTAAGGACCCCCTTCTTCTCAGCGAAAAGGGAGACAGACATTCCAACTCCCAGCTATAACCCGTTACAGATGTTTCAACACAGAGAGTGCAAAAATCCACAGGAACAGCCCAGAAGCTCGTGGAGCTGGGGGCTTTGATGAGGACATGGAAAGGAGCTTGCCAGCTGAACTAATATTTGCCTTCACCTCCAAGCAACTTTGTGTTTTGGCAGCAAGTTGGAGAAGAGCCTTCTGGGAAGAGAGAGCAGCTTGGGCTAAAGCCCAGCCACATGGGAGTGTTCGATGTATTTGGCAGTGATGAGAGTAGGGGGGCAGGAGTTGGGGGAGACAGGCTTGGAAGGGTAAACTGAGCCATGACTTCAGTGCTACGCTAGGGAGCTTGGACTTGAACCTATAAGTGCTGAGTGTCATCAAGGACTTGGGGTTCGGCAAGGTGGTCAGCTTGTGTCCTGGAGCCATGGCCTTGGAAGTGGTAAGGGAAGGAGGCCTGAAGAGGGAGTCTTGGGGGGTGCTGCTGTCAGGAGTGAGAGACCACGAAGAGCTGAGGGTATACCTGGGAAGGAAGGAGAGGAAGGGAGGAGGAAACAGAGGGGAATGTCCTCGAAACTGCCTAAGAGGTGGAGGATAGGGAGGCAGAGGGGAGAGCCACCTGGATTCATCAATATTTTAGTTATTTTGTGCAGGGAGAAAGAAATGACATTACAGCACAAGGGCACATGCAGCCCTTAAACACTTTAACCGTGGGATTGTTTCACTCAACTGAGTCCCAAGAAGTGAGCTTCAGAAGAAAACTCAGAACCTGTGGGAGGTTTGCGGCTTCTCTTGGATTGGGACAAAGCCTTAGCTCTGTCTTGATGCCTTGACTGGAGCACCTGTCCTGTGGCGGCTGCCCAGGAAGGCCTCCATCCTGGCACACAGACCACCCCATCTATGTCCAGCAACACGTGTGCAAACCCCTCCTAGCTCCCCCTTGTTGGCACTCTAGGCCCACCTCAGCATCAGCAGAAGTATGGAAAAGGAAGCGTTTGTCTCCAGGAGCCATCGTTTTCCTTCCTCCTTTCCTCATTTCTGTCTCTGTTTCTTCGTTTCCTTGTTCCTCTGTCACATCCAGGGCTCTCCAGCTGCCTGGCATTCAGGAAGGACCTGCTCCCAGGTAGCATCATGTCTTCTCCAGAATTAAGGCCCTGAGGGTGGTGGGTCACAGAAAGTGCCCCGTGTCTCAAGGGATAAGAGGATAAAACATCCCCAAAGGATGGATGGAGGCTGAAAATCTGAATGGAGTGCTACATAGAGTTGCAAGTCAGGGAGTACCTCCAGGATGCCGAGTCCCTAGCTTAAGCCCCTAAGCTTAAGTAAGGACATGACTTACCTAAATGTCCTTGAGAGTCAAGGCCATGGTCAGGCAGAACTGCTAAAGCAAAGGCTTTGAAGTGGGAAAGAGCATGAAGAATTTGGCGAGGGTGAATAACCGGCACAGGTGTGTAGGCAGTTCCCCTGCCTAGATATATCTGCATGGCACTTGCTTCTGAGGGATTTCTTGGAATTCGCCCAGACTGCAGAGGTGGTCAGATATAAGCATGGCCCTGGTCCCCATCCAAGCATTGCTCCTTATTGCCAGAGTGTGACAGGCTTGGCAGCCTGTGGGGACAAGGGCCAAGGCTGAGCCGTTAGCACAGGATGATCCTGCCCTTCCTCTGTGTCTTCCGCCCCAGGAAGCTAACAGAGATTCGGCTGTGGTGTACAATTGTGTTCAGATGGGCTCACATCCTCGGGGGACTTGGATCCTCTCATAATTCTACAAATTGTGAAATGCTTAGACATTAGGAAACCAAAGAGAGTTGACCCACAATTAGAAAATAATCGCGCATTTAAAATAGCCAATGGATTATGGGTTACTGTTCTCTAAGTCGATAGTAAAAATCCCCATTAAAAAAACAGGAGGTCAAGGTTCTCTGACTCATTTATAAGTGATTTCTCATCATTTCAAAATAAGGGTTAAGTACGTTAAGCCGAGCTGAATGTGGGCTTCCAATCCAAAATTTATTTTTAGCCTTATTGCATCCAGTTACTAATGGTTCAGAGCCAAGAGCAATTCAATCAATGTTTATATCCGATTTAAACATCACCAACAATTGTGTGGTGGTAGACTGTTACAGTCATGGCCCCCAGTGAATAGTGTCCCTGTGTCCTCACTCCTTTGCAATATGACTTTGCTGCTTCTCCCTAAATCAGGAGGTGGGACCTATTTCTTTACCCCTTGACTCTGGGCTGGTCTTGAGACTTGTTGTAACCAGTAAAATGCAGCAGAAGTGACACTGTGAAGCCTTCAAGAATAGGCCTTGAGGAGTATTGTAAATTACATTTTTAATCACTTGGAATGCCCAGAGTCCACTGGATGGGAGGAGAAGCCCAGCTGGCAGCTGTAGGAAGGCCCCAGATATATGAATGGTGCCATCTGGCCCCTCCGCCTCAGTGAGCCCAGAGGAGACCAGCAGAATCATGAGGAACAATACTTGTTTTAAGCCACTAAGGTTTAGGGACATTTGTTCTGCAGCAGTAGGTAATTAAAGCAAATAGTATCCTAAATGGTGACAGAATGGAATCGTCTTCCTGTAAAAATAGACTTCATATCTAAAAAGAAATGAGATGTGGGAAGTAGAAAAGTTCCTCTTCAAAGTTTCTTTCTTGTTAAAGAATAATAATAGGCCGGGCGCAGTGGCTCACGCCTGTAATCCCAGCACTTCTGGAGGGCCAGGCAGGTGGATCTCCTGAGGTTAGGCATTCGAGACCAGCCTGACAAACAGAGTGAAA